GCTGCTCATTTTAGCCCCACCACTCGCATTCGCCACCTCATCATCACCACCACCACTCGCCTCCTCACATGTATCCAATGCCTGGACCATCTTATCCGCCGCCACCAGGAATGTATCCGCCCGCAGGAGGATATCCTCCTCCTGGTGGATACCCTCCGCCTGGTCCGCCTCCACCAGGTCCACCATACGTGCCGCCAGGAGGATATCCGCCACCGGGAGGATACCCGCCGCCGGGAGGATATCCGCCACCCCCAGTTGTGATCCATCATGACGACCATCACCATCATCATCATGAGGGGCCTATCGAACATCTTATTCATGATATCACTGGGCAACATCATCATCATCATCACTAACGTGCAAACTAAATGTTATCATAGACGGGCAAGAACTAGCGGTTATGAATAGAGGGTTGCCAATAGTGGGTCATTTCTGAAGAAGGCTTTTCGTCAAAAAATTTAAAAGTAAGAACAAGGTCAAGATATCTTTGTTTACTGACGCCCATGTCATATAAACTTTATTGAAACTTGTAAATTTGAGTAATTTAATGCTTGTTTGACTGTTATCTCTGCAATAGTAAATAACAGCAAGCTAAACAGCTGTTTATTATTTTGGCAGTATTGCTTCGTCGTCTTCAAATGCATCGTAGAGGTTCAAGTGTTTTTTTTTCTACTCCTTAGTCGTTTTTTAAATGTGAAATAAATGTATGGCATTGATTTCAAAAGAAGAAACTAGTTTACAATTACGAGTTTCAAGAAATCAATTGCAGTGACTCAATCATTGAGGAGTGCAAAGACTTTTTGTCCCATTAAAAATCAGAGTGATTCAAAGAATTATTAGGCTGTGCTTTGGTATTTTGGGATGTTCTTTAGTTACAGTGTAGACATACAACTTCAACAGCGCTAAAGTTCTTTCCTCTGCTCTGCAGCTCCCTTGCTCTACTTTACAGCCTCATATTAATGCAGGACTGCTGAAGTGATAGTTTTACTTTTACAATTTTCTATAATTGTAGTATGGATATACAACACCAACAACGTTAGAGTTTCTGCCAGGAGTTCGCAGTTTTATTGTGCTTTTGTATTTCCGGATTAACTGGTATAGGGCTGCTGAAATTGCAGCTACAGTATTTTTCAGTTACAGCGAAAAAATAAAATACCAGTTATATAAAAGTCTCCAATGGGAATTTTATTCAAATACTGCAGCTTCGTTTTAGCCCTATATAATTCTATGTTTACAGTGTAAGAAAGTTACATATAAAGTGTGAATCTTGGTTCGTTGCGTCATGCCAAAACCTTTCAATTCCTCGTCCTATGTACTGCTCAAGGATTTTTGCTGACCCTGAAGCATACATATTGTTTAGTTTTGTACAAAGCTGCTGCGGCTGCACCTTGTGTTCAAATAGCAACATTTTTTTAGGAACTATAGTTGCATTGGAAATCAGCAGGTGACCAGAATTCAAATAAAAACTGGTAGTCATGAAAAGATATCTATTGGTCTGGTAAAAAGCTCGTGGTGTGGCGCTTATTGCTTAAAATAAAGGAATTTTTGTGGAAGACTGTAGTGTTACCGGGATTGGCGTCTAATCAGATTCTTCAGGTAGACTGGCAATTGCAAAAAAAAAAAGTTTGGTTGTTCAGGAGTGCTTTGTTGAATTTTCTTTGCTCCCTTCCTATGCGGCGTTGAAAACACCGTTGTCAATAAAACTTCTGCACGAGATTTACTCTTCGACACGCGGTTAGTATGAGGTTTCTGTATTTTGTTAATTCTAAATCTTGTAACTGGGTAGTCGGAACTTTATAGCAGTAGTTCACAAAACGATTACTTAATAAAAAACTAAGTAACAAATAAGAAAGTGGAATTATATGAGGTACTTGTTTGGGCAATGGGTTTTGTAAAGTGCGTGTGAGAATCACAGGGCGCGGAACAACTGATGTCTTTCGAAGTTTTTATGAGATATTGCAATGAAGTGAATGTAATTTTATTACTGAGCTTCTACTTTTTTTCTTTTTATGAAAGAAAATTGAAACTTGAGGAAGCTTCTTAGCTCTGATATAATATCTTATAACGTATATTACTGGCTGTGAAAATGGGAAAAAAATTTTTTTCTGAAAAAATTTTTATCTAAATAAAAATAATTTTCCAGTCAGACAGTTTTATGTGACGTTTGTTGCTGCATTTTAAAGCGCGTTTCTGAATTTGTGATGGCTTCAAAGAGGACATAAAATTTTTACATATGGCACCGTTAGAACTACTGAAATGTGCAGCATGTTTCTTTGCAGTTTTAGATTACCATTTAGACAGTAAAGGGCGCATAAAAAGAACGTTTAAATGTAAGGTAATTCGTTGAAGTGACCTCTGGTTTGAAAAAAATTACAGTTCCAAGAATAGTTGAACTTTTTTTGAAGAAGGAAGAAGTTTTGGAATTTCACATGCTTTTTCTCTTTCTCTTCATTTTTCTCCTTTTGCTCTGTTGAGAATACTGATATTAAAATTCGCTTACATGGTTCAAACTTTCTCATCTGTGATGTTTTTTGCTGCTTTAATAATACTGCAGTATGAAAGCAAGAAAATTGATTCAAGAGTAAAAAAATAGTGTTTCCTATCTTTTCCTTTTACTACTTCTTTTGTTGTTCTCGTTTTATTGCGTTGCTTTTGTCAAAATGATGCATCTGAGAATGAGGATTTGAAACTAAGGGTAGCAGTTGAAGTAAAATTTAGTTCTTTCTCCTATTTTAAATAAAGTGTTTATATAGCTTGAAGCGCTGCGTGGGTCTCTCTAGTTTTTACTTCTAAAATATAATTTTAAAAAGATTTGATGTTTCAAGCCAAAACAACAAGATTTGCATCTCAGGTTTTTGGGTACCCCTGTATCAAACACGATCACTACGGTATTTTGCACGCTGATTTTCAAGTGTTTGCTGTTTGCTGTTTTCACAGACTGGGCAGATGTAGACATTATTACGCTGAAAAATCCCACGTTCTTTTAGCTAACGAATGACGATGGTGTAACATCAATGAATGTTTATTTTACTAGAAGCTGAATTTTTACTGGATTCATGACAATGATTTATATTTTAGACTTTGTTACTTTATTTGTATTGCAAGTGGTACAGATTTTAAAGTAAATGCATCTATTTTGACTACAGATTTTGAAGTAAATGCAAAATTTACATCTATTAGTCTGCAAAAGTTTTTGTAAAACTCTATCGTTTTGAAGTTAAAAGAACAAGCATCAGCAATTAAAGGTATAAAGATCTGTGTTTTAAAAACCTATTCCTGCCGGGTTGTCGAATGTGGTGACGGAAAGTGTATGATGCCTAATTCAATCAGTACTGATCTTCAGGTACAGATTTTTAGACGATTTTGAGCACTACTTAAACACGAGACACAACATCCGCTGTATGTTGAACAGCCTCAGCCATGCAAAAGAAATTTCGCACAGCGAAAGATTCGTTATGGTATCAAATTTGTTTGTTTGACTTACTTTTATCGATCAACAAATAATACACAGCAATTGCGTTTGTGGTAAAAGTTTATGTAAAAGAATAAAAACAGTGGTTGTTAGTGAGCTGTAAAGTTTTGCACATGATGAAAGAAAAAAACTAAAGTGAAGTTTTTGGCATTTTAATTGGCAGCTTAAAAAAAGCACCAATGCAAAAAAATATATATATGAAGGAAAACAACTAAAGTAATATTTTTGACGTTTATTTATCAGCTATAAAAGCACCGATGCAAAAAACATATATATGTTTGTCGTGTCAGCAACACTTATTTAATCAAAAAAACTTAATAGTTTTATAGTGTGTTGTTCAAATCTTCGGAAGTATTAGCTTTGAAACACCGATCACAAAGTAGGGGGAATTACATTGACTTTAAGAAAATTTGAAATAAGTTGTACGAAACACACATAAGTGTATTCATCAGAGCGTGACCCTTAATTGCAAAGTATTCATCACGATTCTAGTCGGTAAAAAAAGAAGAGGAAAACATTTTTTTAAAGACAACCGGCTACTTCCCAAATTTACTAGCAAAAACTCTTTATAGCAAAAAAAATGGTAGTTTATATTAAGCTATCGTAAAAAACAAAACAAATAAAGCAAAAAAAAGACATTAAGCTGTAAATAAGTCATAAGCAGCAAATCATTATAAGATGGTCAGCCATTAAAAATACAATTATGCGACTTCAAAAACCGTAAACTTCAAAAAATTGCGACGTAAAAGAGAACAGCGGTTTTATACCTGTGACTCATTATCGTATCTTTATCAGCAGACAAAATTACGCAACAACAAAAAGTTTTTTTAAAAATGCTGTCTATATTTAAGAAAAAATATATGGGCCATTCCATGCCACCTTCGTACATAACTCTCTCAGATTTTTTTCATTTTTTGCTGATTAGTAGAGTCTGGACTAGCATAAAGAAAGCAGCAAAGAAAATTCGGAAAAATGAATTTCTCGCCAAGTTACCCCCCCCCCCAAAGTTATAAAATTTGCCACGTTGGTGCTTGACACGCCTATCTTTAGAGGCTTGTTATTTGGTCCGTTCCGAATGAAATTAAACGTTTTTTGATGCAGCTTATTTTTCATGTCCTGAAATTTTGAAAGAATATTAAACAATTTAATTTCGATGAAAACACACAAATATACAATAAAAGCAAAATTTCAAAGAAACATAAAAAAAAACGTGTCTTTAAATTTTTTAAAAAAGACACATTTTGTGTAGAATTTTTTTTCTACAACATATCAAAATTTGGAGATGGCGATTTTTCAATATCGGGAGCTACGAGCCGGAATAGGTTGTAAAATCGAAAAAAAACCCAACTAATTTTACAGTAATCCCATGTATTTTACAGTGACGAAATCATCCGGAGCCGCTTCTAACGGCCGCAGCTGGCAGCTATAAATATCCCGTATGCTCTAAACCTCAAAAACTCGCTATCAAAGTCGTACTTTACTTTAATAATGTTAACAAATTATTATTCTGCAGGGTTATAATAGGTAGTCTATACTTTAGCCCTTTCTATTTTTTGTATGTCGTGATTTCTCAGTGCTAAGAATTGTCTCTATATTGTACTCGTCAAAATTTTCGCCAAATTGACTTGTTCTTCTTTGCAATTATGTGTTGCAGTTCTTCAGAAATACAGAAATTTCGAGAAAAACCTAAATTTAACAGTTACCAGGCAAAGCAGTGAGCTCTTGGACTTCTTTGCGATGCCAAAATGTATACTAGCTACATAGTTTCCACAAAATAAAACAGGAGAACTAGAAAGCGCTAGAGTAGAGACTACCTATTATAACCCTGCAGAATAATAATTTGTTAA